CCACACGCCCCCCCCCACTTCCCCTCGGTCCCCTACCCGTATTTGCTTTCTTTGTTCTTTTCTCCAATATTTCATTACTCTTACTTCTGTTGCAATACCTGGTACCATTTATTAGCTCCTAAGATCCCGCTCCTTTAGTATGGGTTTGGTACAAATCTGATGCATAGTTTTTGTGTGTCATTAAAAAACCCTCCTTTTCAATGTATGGAAAAGTGCATTCTCAACCTGAACATACTATAGCTCCATTTTTGCCTTTTTCGTTGGTGCTAGACCGCACCCTGTTCGGGTGGCCAGTGGTCAGTGTTTTATTTCTTCACAGTACAAAGGACAGACTGGAAGCCCTGGAACAGAAGCTGCAGGCAAACCGACAGCAGATGACCAAACAGGCAAAGAGAGCCGCCAAACTCGAAAGGAAACTCAAGATACTCACCGGAGGCTATCAAGTAGTACCCTACATGTACAATACACGTTCACAAGTGCAGTATTCTCTTGCATGCATGTATTGCAGACCATCTTGTGTCAATCAGTGCGGGTAATTAGACGTGTGTGCGTGCAGATGAAATACTACTGGGCCCACTTGCCTACGTTTTATTTTTGTTCCCATTCTTTCATTTTGCTGTCGTTCTTCTCCCACCTCTCTCTCCCCTCTCCCCCCCTCTCCCTGACTCTCCCTCCTCTCTCCCCCCTCTCCCCTCCCCTCTCCCTCACTCTCCCCCTGCAGGCAAGAGCCAGTTCTCTAGGCCAGCAGTTGGCCGAGGTCCATGAACAGGCGGAACAAGGCCACGTGGAGCGGCAGACCTTCAAGAGACTCCACGACATGGAGGCTGTGGCCATTCCTCGAAGACTGGAGGTAGAGTTGATTCTCCATACATTAAAGTCGATGGGCATTTGGGTCACGATGTATAGAACACCTGCTTTCCTACCCTCGGGCCCTTAGATGTGTCTTTGCTACGCTGATGCACCGCTGCTCCGGGCCCTCGGCTTTCTAAATTACGTGCCTTCATGGACGGACAGAAAGTCTGTGGAATCTATGCGCATACATTACAAAAAAGCCCAAGTGCATCTACGTGTATGTGCGTAGATTTCACTGACAACCTGCTGACTTGCCTTACTTTTTCGAGTGAATTCTTATTGATGCACACCTAGTTTCACTCGTGCATGTGCAGGTTGTGTGCAGGAGGGTAACGGGGACTGTGGTGATTTAGTGTGTGTGCGTGTGTGAAGTGTGTGCAGATGACTAGGTGACATGAGCACTGCACCTTCATTACAGATTGTATGTGGCCTTCTCCACTCCTCTATCTCTGTGTGTGTATCTCTCCTTCCCCAGCAACTGAAGGAAGAGGTTGGTAGACAGACGGAGAGGGAGAACCAACTCCAGAATCGCTACTCGAATCTTCTCTACCAGCGGAACAGCCTCGTCCAACATCAGCAGATGAGCCGGCAAGGACAACAGATGAACCAGCAAGGACAGCAGGCAGCTCAGGGGCTTGCACCTCTCGCCTCCCAGCCCCAGCCCCTAATGCCTGCTCCTGTCCAGGCCTAGACACTGTCACATGACCAGCACATGATACTCACATGATCACCTGACTGATACACAATAGAGAACTCCTGATTTTCTCTATTATTTTGTTGTGGGCTTCATCTGCGCAATGCAAATTTTTTCTTGGCTGAATCTTATTGTTCCACTACTGCTGTATTATGGAATCTGATGTATAAAGTGCTTCTTTGTAATCCATACATATTGCATTGCTGTTTACGTTGTTAGCTACGACGCGCGCATGCACATTTTCTGTATGTACATGGATATTTGTATGATGACTGAGAGAGTAAGATCAAAGGAATTCCAGCTAGTCCAAACAACGTACACGCATAGTGAGCGCTTCCTGCTGAGTTACGGTAGTTATAACGATAGTAGGAAATTGGCAGCGTGTAATGCACATTAGGGGGCTTTCACACTCTTTGTGTGCTGCTGTTCTTTACCAGAAGGGAGTGTTTTCAGGCTAGAATGGCCAGAAACTGCTCTAGTATATACGCGGTCTGAAAACAAGCTAAAACTGCTTCCCGACGCGTAGGCTCCCCGTAGACTGGAACAGTATGTGACTTCAGCTTCTTGCTACTGCAACAGGCTGCATTCGAGAGCGCTGGGTATAGCGCGGGAGAGAAAGCGAGCCAGAGCGGCAGCTACAAAACTCGCGTGGAGTCCAGCAGCGAAAAAGTGACGCACTTGTAACGTTGAACTCTCGAAAAAATGACCATGGCTTCTGCACAACCGCCCAGCTTGACCAAACTAAAGCGCTTATTGCAGCTGTCTCTCCGCTCCCGATCGGTCGCTAACTCTCTCCGGCCGTACACTCGAGGGTGTGCGTTAAAAAGAGGGCATTTGAAAGCTTTTGCGCAATCTCATTGGCCAGAGCCTACCGCGGGATGTCATCATACAAACACGTTATACGATGGCTTTGCTTGTGGTTTACTGGTTGTACACTCATGGCTTCAGTTTTGATAGACCACTCGGGCTACGCCCTCGTGCCCTATCAAAACTGGCCACTCGTGTAAAACCAGTAAACCACGCGCCGCCATCGTATAACCTATACATATAATATAGGGGGGCCGGGGCCGGCGGGTCGTAAAGGGGTACGTAGTAGAGCGTACAGCTGCTCTGTGCGCTGGGCTGAGCGCGGCCTTCACCTGCTGTCCAGGAAGCCGCCGAGTCTCTCTCTCCCACAGACAGTAACCCAGTAAAATGGCCCAGAGCACTCTGAGAGGGAAACGAAGTAAGTACCAGTTAGTTCAATGACTAGCGCGTGGGCCGATTCAGTGGTTCAGAATGGCAGTGGGGTAAAGAGAGGGAGAGTTGTTGTGTTCAAAAGTGTGTGGACCTAAAAGAAGAGGGAATAGTTTTGTCTTTATAGAAGATGGGACAATTAGATGATTCCCAGCTGCCTCATTTAGCAAACTTTGAAAGACCTGTTGACTCAGCCTCCCTGCCCAGTCAAACTAAACCACACCCCTCTGTAGTCTCGTGACCATTCTGAAAGGCCATTTGCCCCACCCACATTACATGTGCAAGCACCTCACAAAGGGTCTGGTCCACGTACTATTAACGAAAGAAAATTAATGAGCTAGTTCAGAGTCTATATAGAGTACGGATGCTATACATCACTACATGTGTGTACTCCATGGCAGGTGTTCCCCTCACTACCTCCAATGTACTGGCAGTAGTGAGGGAGGTGAAGAGGTGGTGGGGTGGATGGGGAGTGGTCATTGACACAATGGCTCTACATACCTGAATCAAAGCAGAAAGAGATCACGGCCAACTTCCCAGATGAGATGGATCAAAAGCAGCAGGCTATATCCTACTGGATCAACACCGACCCTCTAGCCAGCTGGAGGAGACTCATTATTGCCCTGGACTGGATGGGAGAAACAGAGCTGGCCGACTCTATAAGATCCAATGCTGAACCTCTCACTGGTATGTGTATCCATAGCAACCAACATGTTTGCTGGCTAATCATGATCAACGGTCTAAAAATTAATTGGGGTGCATTCACCCACGCAGCTCATGCACCCCAAAGAGCCTGTTACCATTGCACATGCTCAATCAAAGATATTATCTATGTGTTATGCCTACATTCATGAAAATAGCTTTTTCACGTGCGTCACAATAATTAAACGGAATGTGCGGAAATCTGTAAAAATTTATCCCTTGTGTACTGACACAAATTCCTTTAATAGCCGCAATAATTGTTTGTAACTTACATGCACCTACAAATGATGGGGAACAGGTGGTATCATAGCCAGTCCAGTCTGTAGACTGGTGAAGATGTTAGTCATTTTGTGATTGTTACTGTCACTCCTGCCCCTCCTCCCTCCAGATGACAGCCTCACTCCACACTCTGTAGCACGTGCTGTGGCTACTGTGAGACAGTTCTGGGGTATAGGTTAGAGATCGGGCTACTGCGTTTTACTTGGTGTTCCCGAGTCAGTGATGAATCAGATCAGAGACAGTAGATCATACTCAAGTGAAGAAGAGAAGAGAGTGGCTGGTCTGCAGTACTGCCTCCAGACTGTACCTGGTGTGTCGTGGGGGAGGATAGCTGGTGTGTTATGGTTCATGGAGGAGCACACGGCCCTGGAGACTGTCAGACAATACCTACCACACACACATGGTCAGTATGAGAATGTACATGTGCAGTACAGTACTGTAATACTCTGTCCATATGTACGTACATTGAGTATGGGTAAGCCATAGTTTGTGAGTATGATTGCTGTAAATAGCCGAGATGTGTAAGAACCCACCCACTCTCTGTAATTCATCATGGACAACATTATTCATGACACTGGCTTACATACTACAGTATATAGTGGGTGGTGTATTGATATGACAAGAAATTGGTGGACTGGTCATGTCAGTTATGAATGTTGTATGAAAGTGTTCCTCTGATCCTCACAGATATCAGCCTCACTCTCTCCAACCTGACGTCAGCTCTGGACTCATTACCTGACATACTGTGGAGGGCCTTTGGTCTGGAGATGGATGTGCCATGGTCAATACTGGTTAAGATACAGTCTCAGTTGTCCAGTGATAAGGAGAGGAAAGCTGAAGTGCTCAGAGTGATTTCCACTGAACATCCTCACCTGACATGGGAGTATGTGTCAGATATCCTCTACCGGCTGGGAGATGGAGAGTATCACCATGTTCTAGAGAGAGTGCAGTCCCTATTCCCAACTGGTGAGCATCTCTCTCATCTTCTCTTTCTCCACTTACCAACTTTTGCCCTCTATCTTTTGTCAACACATGTATGCATGTAACAATAGACCATGTAATGCCAAGAGAAAAACATGCGCTCTGGACAGCTGGTTTCGGGCCTTGTCGCCCCTCAATCAAAGCATACCGCAACTTCTCTCTCTGGCTCCCTAGTTTATAAAGGCAGAGTGAGCGCAGCACTTGTGTGGTTTTGACTAATGATATTCAATCCCCGACAAGCTTTGCTCAGGCGCACACTTGTGGTTCTGAACTAATGAGATTTCATCCCCACAAGGCGTTTGCTTACTTAGTAATGCAATATTAACGTAAAGCCAAGTTTAATGAGCTAGCTCCTTAATCAGATTGCAGCAAATATTTATTAAACCTTGATATATTTTTCCTATAATAAGTAAAGAACAAGATGTTGTATAAAGCCTACTTGACTCCATGGTAACTATATTATACATGAAATAACCTGTTTGTGCCATGTGCACGTATGGGGTGGCCACAATGCTGGCCCTCCATTTTCTTACTGCAAATAGTTCCCTGAATCTAGTGAATGTGTTTATTGACACCTTGTACACACCTTTC